TACAGCTGTACCTGTGTTGTTTATTACTCGTGTTTCTTATGCTCTATAAGAAGGCTGTATCCATTTGTCTTTGTGCATTGCTCTCGGTAACATCGACCATTTTTTGTTCTAGAAGATGACAGTGGTCATTTCCCTTTATATTTGTGCATTGCTCTCTATAACATTAACAAAACTTTAGAAATAAAGCAAATGGTTTGTGACAAATGCCTTGCTGAGAGCAAGTCCATAATGATTGGGTAGGGGTCTAGGGCAGAGCCCCCAATAGGGAAATATGGTAATTGGACAGGGATCAGGGGGCAAAGCTCCCAGGTTACAAAGGTCTGTGTTTTTGGTTCATACAGTGATTTTTGTGGATTTCCAAGGAGTAGCTGGATTTATAGGACTTGCCATCAGGAGTGTGCGGTAACTTTGGAAACCTTTACTAAAACTCACTGGAAAAGTTTTGGTTGATAATCAGGATTGCAATTTGTCAAGTAGTTCATGTATGACTACACACTTGTGAAGACAATTATTTTGTAATTATAAAGAACTGTTTTTCTTTATTTATGTATTTAATGCATCCTTTTATTTTTATTATACTACTTTAACCTCTTATTGCCGGGCACGCCTGTAGCCATCATAAATATTATACTTGAAATGCTGAAGGAGCTAGGCACAAATTGCAGAACTGTTAATGTGTACCAGGAATCCTGCATGACTGGCCACTTGCCAAATTTTCATACTGCAAATATTATGTAATATATACAGTTCAGCCAAAAGGCCATATGGTTGCTAGAAGTCACTAGAATGAGTGACACCCAGAGATTTCTGGTACAATCTTTGTAGGTTTAAGCACTTCTGCAAATGACAGTAATCATCCACAGCTTATAGTCTGGTAACATAAACCTGAAATTGATTGGTTCTTTAGTAAGAAATTTTCATGTAAGTCTTCAAGCTCTATATTGGCAGAATATGAATGATTATTTAATATTGGCTTTTACCAAAGCACTACAGGTATGGAGTCTAGTGGTAGATGGGTAAGTCACTTGTTAATATGTATCTTAACATTTATAACCTATACAAACACGGGGGGGGGGGGGGGTCAGATTAGTGATTAGTGTATCTACCTGAATTAACAATATTTGTAATACATTTTTCTCTCTCTCCCAATCAAACAGAATTGCTTGGCGACTTGCTTCGCCAGAAGCCTAAGGAGACAGATGGTGTGGAATCAGTCATCATTGTTGATGGTGTCCCATGTGTAGGAGCTGAGCGCTTGGAGAAGCTGAAGAACGTCGTTCGCAAGATCTTCAAGGAGTTTGGCACCATCATCAATGAGTTCTATCCCACAGGCGAAGATGGCAAGACAAAAGGGTAAGTTGTTTGGAAAAGATGGGTTTTGTGCTGTGGGGGTTTTAGAGCATTGCATTGGTTTTGTTCACTAAGACTTCAATTTTCTTGCATATACCTCTTCTTTAGACCCCATGCAGGTGTAAGAAAATATAATTATTCTAGATTTAATTTGATTTCATTACAAGAACTTTGGGGGGGGGGTTGGGAAAGTGAATTTGTATTTGTGTGGGTGTTTTTCATCCGTTTGTTCTTCACCAGACTTGGGGATATGTTCATTTATGTCTGTAAGCAAATTCCTGCGGTAGTACCATATGCTTTATTTATTTATTTATTTTTCTATCTGCCACACATTGGTTTATGTTTTTTACGTTATGTGAGAAAGCACAGTGGATGATTTCCCATGCTGTAGCTAATTTATAGAATGCTTATCAGAAGTAAGCTAGTTTCTCATGCATCACTTCTCCGTTATCTGTGCAGGGTTTCCTGATAGTAGTTAAAATAGATTTAGGCACTGGCTCTTGAGATGTGGCAACAGAATGTATACATAACCTTTATACACTCATCAGAAAAATGAAATTGAACTGTTAGTAGTTACTTGCTCATGTGACTGTCAGTGTTTAGTTAAATCCAACAAACCTCCAAGTTTAGTTTGGAAAGATAAAAATAGTTTACTTTTAAGTGAGTAACCAGTTCAAGCTCTGTCCTGCTAAATATGTGGACATTATCATTATTTACTACTGTGCCAAAGGTGTGGAGATTTGGGCAGGTCCATGGCACTCTTGCCTTTACTGGGATGCAGTGAAGATCATAGACCTTCCTTCACTAATTATATCAATTTTCAAGAGGATTTGGAGAGAGAAATTTGTGACTGGGCTAACCGCTAAGTTAGCCCAGTCATGTATGACCCCCCCCCCCCCCCTCCATTAAAAAATATATATATAGGCACAAATAAATAAAAATTTAATCCCTTGATGACGGGTGAAAACAAAAAAAAAATTATGCTCTGGAGATCAATGGCAACGCGCTGACTTTGTGTGGGAGTTTGGTACACCAAGCTGAATCACTGGCTTGTAGCCCTTTGGAGCGCCGTGGCGGCATACAGCCACACGCCACAGATTGAGCAGTGTTTGATGCCTCATGGCATGACCCATCAGGAAGGGGTTAAAAATCCTATATCTAAATCATAATCTATAACAAGATTTTGCATTCGCCAAGAAGAAAATCTATCATTGTTAAAATTTTACTCCAGATACATATTCCTGGAGTTCAAGGACCGTAGTTCTGCCGATGAAGCTGTCCGCCAACGCAACAACTACAAGCTGGACAAACAGCACACTTTCCAGTGCAACTTGTTCACTGACTTTGATAAGTATGATAACATACCTGAGGAATTTGTTCCTCCTCCTGCACAGCCTTACAAGGTTGGTAGTTTTGAGCTTTGATTTTCCTTTTCCATATCTTTAAGAGCATTATTTGGAAATACTTGTATATTGGTTTTGATTCATAGTATGTCAAAATTTATTATCATAATTGTAGTTACCATTATCAATATTGTTTTATTTGTTTTTTTCACATTTTTTCCTTTTGCAGGATTTAGGCAACATGCACTACTATCTCCTTGATGATAACTGCTTTGATCAGTATTCCATCATCCTGGACGGAGGCACAACTACTGCGATATACCTCAACGCTGTCCCTGAACCTGTTGAGATTGCAAAGAGGGAGGTTAGTACCCTGGGTCTTATACTTTTACCTTTCCCTTGCTAACCTCATTTAGTTTGGCCAAACTTTGAGTCTGGTTTTGGGATTCCTGTATCAATAATGACATTAAATTAAACAAGTTAAATGTAAATGTATATTAGGTTCTCTCACCAAGTCACGACATGGAACAAAAGGGTGGTGAGGAAAAAAGGATTGGATAATGAGTGATCATCCATAAATTAAGGGAATCCAAAGGTAACTCATAGTGTGCTACAATCTAAAAGGGCAAGAATAGTTAACAAAAAATAATTAAATTTGTATTTTCTTACAGAGGTGGACAGAAACTTATGTCAGATGGTCTCCAAGAGGCACATACCTTGCCACGTTCCATGGCAAAGGTATTGCTCTTTGGGGAGGTGAGGAATTCCGGCAGGTGTCCAAGTTCAGTCATCCAGGTGTACAGTTTATCGACTTCTCACCATGTGAAAAGTAAGCCATTTGAATATAATACACACATGCACATGCACGCATGCGTGCACACTCTCACACACACACACACACACACACACACACACACACACACACACACACACACACACACTCACACTCACACTCACACTCACACTCACACTCACACTCACACTCACACTCACACTCACACACACTCACACACTCACACACTCACACACTCACACACACACACACTCACACACACTCACACACACACACACACACACACACACACACACACACACACACACACACACACACACACACACACACACACACACACACACACACACACACACACACACACACTCACACACTCACACACTCACACACTCACACACACACACTCACACACTCACTCACTCACTCACTCACTCACTCACTCACTCACTCACTCACTCACACACACACACACACACACACACACACACACACACACACACACACACACACACACACACACACACACACACACACACACACACACATATATACTTTGTTTGTTTGTTTGCTTTGTTTGTTTATTGTGAAAGTCAATGATTATACAATCCAAACTTTTGCTCAGAAATTTGTTTCTTTTTTCAGGTATATTGTGACCTTCTCACCTGTGGTTGATCAGAGAGCAGAAGAGCCCCAGTCTATCATTATTTGGGATGTCCGTTCTGGTTTGAAGAAGAGAGCTTTCAATGCTGAGAGACCACCAGTCTGGCCTGTATTCAAATGGTCAAATGATGACAAGTATTTTGCCAGAATTGTTGAAGATGCTCTCAGTGTTTACGAGACTCCTGTGAGTTTAACTCTAGATTTTCTTGTAATTTTAATCTATTATTGTATTGTGGAATATAGTAGTTACAGGATTTGTTGTTTTCTCTCTCTCTCTCTCTCTCTCTCTCTCTCTCTCTCTCTCTCTCTCTCTCTCTCTCTCTCTCTCTCTCTCTCTCTCTCTCTCTCTCAAAATGAAAGTTCAGCTTATAATTTTTTTTTTTTTCCCCACAGTCCTTTGGTCTCCTAGACAAGAAGAGTATAAAGGTGCCAGGTATCAAAGAATTCGGCTGGTCTCCAACAGACAATATCCTGGCTTACTGGATTGCTGAAGACAAGGATGTCCCTGCAAAGGTGTCCTTGGTGTCCATACCCAGCAGGGAAGAGGTGAGGGAAAATATTATATTGAGTTTCAGGTTCATATTATTATTAGATCATATTAAGATTGAGCTTTTTGTGTGTATTTAGTAAAATAATAGTGGTCTGATTTTATCAAGGAGACTTCATGTTTGGACAATGCCATTCTTCCCAAACAGATCCGTACGAAGAACCTGTTCAATGTAGCAGACTGTAAGATGGTCTGGCAGAAATGTGGTGACTACCTCTGCGTCAAGGTGGCTAGGTATGCCAAGGCCAAGCGCGAGAGGAATGACATCAAGTACTCTGGTATCTACTACAACTTTGAAATCTTTCACATGAGGGAGAAAGGCATCCCTGTGGACAGCTTGGAGATCAAGGAGAACATTCAGGTACAGAATAATGGTTTTATACAATTTTGTCCCAAATTTGTAATTTTTTTGTTTTCTGGTGTTAAATGAGTAACAAGCTTATAACTTTAAAGGCTGTTTTTATCTTGGGATCTATTCACCTAAGTAGTCTAACCATCTCCATGGTGTACAGTAAATTGCAAAAGATGGTTTACAAAGAAAAATTATTATTGAATAAAGGTATTCTTGGGTGAAACCATTGATATGTCTGGAATCTCTACAGAAATATATAGTCATATGTCCTAGTCAAGCACCCAAGTTATCCATGTTTTAATTGTATATTCTCTCTGCTTACAGGCATTTGCATGGGAGCCTGTAAACAACAAATTTGGCATCATAACAGGAGAGCCTCCTTCAGTGAATGTGTTGTTCTTCCAAGTTAATAAGGGTCAAGCCCCATCTGAGCTGAAGCGACTGGAAAAGAGGCCTTGCAACAATCTCTTCTGGTCCCCACAAGGACAATTTGTGGTGCTCGCTGGCCTGCGCAACATGAGTGGAGCCCTGGAGTTTGTTGACACTAAGGATTTCCAGGTGTGGTGGTGATTGTGTATTTCCTCTTCTCCCTTTCCCTTTTCTTTCATTCTGTAGTGTTCAGTGACCTAGTTCAGTGCTTTTCAGGTGTGTTATCAGTAATGCCTTTTTCCAGATCACTACTCCTCTCCTCCCCTTTCACCAATTATTACTTGTTTTAATTTCACCCGTTTGCTTGTATTTCTTTATTATTATTTTTAGTAGTTTCCCTTTCTATATAACCTTGAAAGAAGAGGAAATTTTATTACTAGTATTATTAACTTTTTATGTAAGGTTGTAGGTGTTTTCACAAGACCAAGGGCCCTGTTGAGGTGATTTTGGTTCTGAATTAATTGAGCATTGCCACTTAAGGACTTTGCTCTTCTAGAACTTTTTCTTTCTATCCTTCTTTTAACCCACTACTGGTGGGCCATGTGCATAGCTGTCATAACAAACTGCTTGATCTGTCTGATAGGACTATACGTGTGGCGCATCAAGCAGGAAGTTCCACTACATGCAGTGGACTCCCACTCCAAACGGGATGCCGAAAGATTTCTAATGCCATCACCTTAGTCTATTTCAAATCTTTAGCATTTCTCCTGCATATCTGCTTCCATTCTTACCCTTTACCTCGTTTTTCTGTTCTCTTCATCAGTTAACATTTTAATGTAGAGTATTCAAGTAGTTTGTTAATATTTTTATTGCCCACTTCCAGATCATGATGAGTACTGAACATTTCATGGCCACCGACATTGAGTGGGATCCCACAGGACGTTATGTAGCCTCCTGTGTTTCCTGGTGGGGACACAAGGTCAGTGAAGTACTCTATTATTGTACTACATCATTTATGAAAAAGATAGCCTCTTGCAAAATAAGTTATTTACTTTTATACTAGCTTTAGGATTCTCATTGTATATTTTTTGTCTCGAGTGTATCTTTGAACTGGAGATAAAGGACAAGGTAACACTTATGAAATTTATTATTTTTATTTCTTTTTTTAATGATAGGTTGACAATGCATACTGGCTGTGGTCATTCCAAGGCAAGTGCCTCAAGAGACACTCAGTTGAGAAGTTCTGCCAGCTGTTGTGGAGACCTCGGCCACCATCTCTCCTCCAGTCTACTGATATTAAGGTTTGACTTGTGTGATGTTTTCTACTTGGCTACATGGGATTGATTTTTTATTTGTAGTCTGTATTAAGTATGTATTCCAGTGGGATAGTTTTTTTCTAATGATCCAATTTAATTTTATCAGGAAATTAGGAAGAACATGAAGAAATATGCAGCCAGCTTTGAGGTGCAAGACAAGATGCGCTTCAGCAAGGCAAGCAGAGAGATCATAGAGAAGAGACAGAAACAGATGAGTGTCTTTACAGAATACAGGAAGAAAATGATCGAGCAGTTTGAATCTGACAAAGAACAGCGCCTCAGACTTCGGGGAGGTGAGTGTGAGTGCCCAAACCTTGTGTGTGTTGAAGTTCACTCTTCACTGTCATGGAATATTTTGAATTGTCTCCTCTTGAGCTTGATATTATTTTATGTTTATATTGTAGTAAGCTTGATTGTTTGTTTATTTGTTTTTCTTTTTCTTCCATTCATAAGGTCAAGATACTGATACACTTACTTCAAATGAAAATGACTTCGAAGAAGAAATTGTTGAGTTCTTAATTAAGAAAGAAGTAATTCCCGTTGACGACTAGTCCTCAAGAATTTCCTATCTCTGGCTGTCTGGTGTTTTGGCCTCGTCAAGTGGTGGTGGTTGCAAGACCTCAGCAACAGGAGCAACAGAGAATTGTTGCCAACTTGTGTCAAATACCTGTGGTATCACACCAGTGAATGCTAGGAAATAAAAGAAAAGACTGCTTCACGGGATTTAAGTGGCCTGCGTGGGAGTACCTTCGTTGGGCTCTTGAAACTGT